AGTTGCTTGGCTGTGCATTACCACAGACAGCGTCAAGCTAAGAAAATGATAGAACCCATTTCAAATGAGTAGTAGATCTGTTAGGCTCTTGTGTTTGCCCATCAGAGGCCAGGAATATAACAAACATGAACCATCTTGCCTCTGGCCATCGTGTGGCCCTGAGGTTGGTTTTGTGGGATGTGGCTACACCTTCACGCCTGCTGGGTGCTTCCTATCTCCTATGTTCTTGAGAAAGCCTTGGAAGCACAGATAGTTAGCAGCCATATTTTGAAGATGAGGGCCAAAGAAGGGTAAGCAGCAAGCCCAGTAAGCAACCCGCTGTCTGTGGGCCTGCCTTTCAGAGTTGTGTGTGCAGAAAGCCAATAGCATCTGTGGAGAAAATACATGATTGTCCACCACCTAGAAGGCAGGCCTTACAGACGTTTGGGCATGTTTTCTTCCTGACTTTTTCTAGGTGTATATCTTAGCTGAGATCATGCTGCGTAGGACTGTTTTATGTCCTGCCTTTTATCTTATAAGCCTTTTAGAATACTCTTCTTAAGTGTTTAAAAGAATGATAGTCACTCTTAAAGGAGCAATACGTGACTTCCAACTTGATTGATAAGGGCTAGGCTGCTCCAGAATTCACAGTGGTTGTGCTCAGAATGAATAAATGAGCTCTGAATAGCTTTAGTGCCACAGGAGAGCAGGTATATCCAGAACAGTTCCTAGCCCCCCATAGTTTCATTCCACTGAATGGAAAAGCTGAACTCTTCACTTCAGTGTGAACTACAGGTGCTATTGTTCCCTGGACTCCCACTCAAGGCCATCTGTTTGCCTCTGGGGTGGCAGGGAGGGTGTCTCGGTGACAGTCATGTGGTTTTCAGAGTTTTCACATCTCTCTTGTCTTTTTTTTCCCTGTGATGTTTGTCCTATCCTGACAAAAATGAAGTAAATTTCCTGATGTGAGTTAAATTATGTGTGATAATATGCATGGCATGAATAATTATAGGCTGGGTTTGCCAAGGGGCATATATGTGTGTGTGCATATATTTACATACATGCACATACAAAGGCTAGGACATTCTTAAAGGATGGGGCAAGTGGTTTGAAACCCTAAATATCTAGTCAGCAGTGGTGCTTATGTTACAGGGAAACCTATAGAGAGGAATGCAATGCAGACTAATTCCAGGTGCCTTTGGTTGGGTGACTTTGAAAGAAACAAACCAATGAAAAAAGAGCAGAGAACCCTGTCTGCTTATAGACTAGCAAATGGTTGGGAACATGGGCTTTGAATTCATATGGGTCTGGCTGTTGGTCTCAACCCTGCTTGGGTGAGTTCCTCCTGTTCTTAGGTTTGCTTTCCTCGGTCACAGAATGGGCCCACTAATGCATGGGCATCACAGGGCACTTGGGCATGCAGGATGCTTGGCACAGAGCACCCCAAGGTGCTCTCAAATAGCCCTCATTAGCATGTTCATCATCAGAGTCCAATCTGCATGGATGCCCCCAGAAAGAGGTCTAAGCAGTCCAGAGGTGGTGCCTTTTCAGACCCCTTGGTGGGGCTGAGTCCATACTGGAGCAGATGGGCTGTCCAATTTGCTTCTGGCCTTCTGCCTTTCACATTCCAGTTGGAAATCCACCTGCTTTGGTAAAGGGTCATTTTGCATACATACTGTAAAAGAATTTAGTGATTTGGCATTGTAAATCATGAGGAAAGGTAGACAAATTTGTTAAATAAACATGAAGTGGGGCTTATTAAAGAGAGCAGTCCTTATTGGTCAGTGTGCTGAACTGTGAAGCACTGAAATTGGTAGGCTCTGGAGAGCAGACTGTCCTCCACTTGGGAGACTCATTCCGTGTAGTAAGCGCAGCATTTTTGTTTTGTGGGCACAACACCAGGTCATCCGTCAAAGTGTGAATGACAAGATTACAGTTGTTGGAGCTGGAATTACTTTGCACGAAGCCTTAGCTGCCGCTGATGATCTTTCCAAGCAAGGTCAGTTGGGGGTTGCTGAATACTGAAGTTTGGGCTGGAAGACGTGGAGGTTGGGCTGCCTGTCTGCCCCAGTGCATCTTTTTAGTCTAAGCCTGCTTGATACACTAAGCTGGTTATTGCTGTTTTCCAGATATTTCTATCCGTGTCATTGACCTGTTTACTATTAAACCTCTGGATGCTGCCACCATCATCTCCAATGCAAAAGCCACAGGTGGCCAGATTATCACAGTGGAGGATCACTACCCAGAAGGTATGTGCAAGCCTTGGGGGCAGACCATTTTGATAGTCTGCTTTGGTGGAACATGTTTTGTTTTCCTTGACCAGAAGTATGCCATGACCATGGGCAGTCCAAGTCCCTGCAGCCAACCACTCACCCTGTATTACTTGCTCTTTGCAAGGGTGTGGGTGTAGGGTCTCTTGCACATCTACAGTAGCTAAGGGAGGTCTCATGTCCATCCTCGTTTGAGTGTACTCAGCACAGTGTGCCCTGCCTGGTCCTTGGGTGGCTCAGTGGCAGTACAGAGGAATGTCTAACTTGGCATTGTGGCAGGAGGGATCGTAAGAAGCTTCACAGTTGCTCTTGTGTATTGACTGATTCATAGTTTGCCCCTTGCAAAAAATGAAGACAGTACCTTGCAAGCAGAGAACACAGCAAATGCAGGAAGTGTGGCCAGGGAGAGGGGCTGGGCAGTGTTTGGCCAGGGAAGGTCAGGTAGAGCAAAGGAGCGAGTGGGGAGCTTCATGTGTTCATGTGTCAGGGGCTCCAGAGCAAGCCCTGTGGTCTGCAGGGAAGCACTCTCCAAGGAAAGGGCACACACTGGGACCCCCAGGGGGCAGAAGACACAGGTCAGGGGTGAAGACCCCATGCCTTTGGTTCCCTCTCTCCCTCCCTCCCTCCTTTGGGGGGCCCCCAGCTTGCTCCCTTATCTGGCAGCAACAGATGCCCCCCTGGAGACCTAGGGAACCCACTCGAGACTCACTGCCACGAGTATTATTAAGGGCTGATGGCTGCCATTCACGTGCCAAACTTCCCGACTCCCAGAGGAAAGCAGGTGCGCCCCATAAACCACCCTGTGGTGCCAACAGCTGAGGCACAGAGACCACTCTTAGCAGTAGAGAAAGTGTCTCATTTATGTCAAGGACTCGCACCAACCTACTGCCCAGGCACCACCCCCGGGCCAGCCTTGCACGCCAGCCTTTCTGAAGTCAGCAGCCAATTCTTGGGCTCCTCACAGGTTTGAGAATCTGATCTCCACAGATCCTTGCGTCCATGGAGCCCCAGTGGAGATAACCCCAGCCATAAGTAGGGCTAGGGAGCAATTTGAAGACTTGTACTTTTGAATGAGAACTCTTCTGGCCAGTTAGGGAACAGGTTGTTTATAAATCAGTGCCTAGTGAGAAACATTTCTCCCACGGAATCACACATTCAAAGGTCTACATGATGGGGTTTGAGGCTGATGAGCTGCTTCCAGAACAGACCCTAATATCCCTTGCTTCTGCAGGTGGCATCGGGGAGGCCGTCTGTGCAGCCGTCTCCGTGGAGCCTGACATCGTGGTCCATCAGCTGGCAGTGTCAGGGGTCCCTCGGAGCGGGAAGCCCAGTGATCTGCTGGATATGTTTGGAATCAGTTCCAAACACATCATATTGGCTGTGGAACGTATTTTAATGCAATAGCTTAGCTGTTGGCTTTGACCAACAGACTGGCCTGTTTACCTTACCTTATGTTTATGCTTGTTGCCAGATGATCACTTAAATCTATGCTATTGTGCTTTATTCTTTTTAAAAACAATGCAAGTTAACTGCTTTCTTGTTAAGCCATAACTACATATACATGTATAACTCTTAACCTTTGAATCATTAAAGTGGATTATAAGAGAAAGTTTGAAGTGACAGAATAGCTAACAAAACAACCATCTAATAGCAAGTTTTCTGATGAGACTAGAGATAATGGGGTAGAGACCAACATAAGGTAACAGTTTCTTAAATGTGTGCATTTTCCTCATAAGTTAAAAAAAAAATGTGAATTGAATTGTAGACTGCAGTCACCCAAGTTGGGCAGCATTATACCACCATGCTGCCCACTGATGGCCCGTGCATGAGGTCAGGTGCTGCTATCCTACCTGTAGCCTTCCAGGTACTGTGTGACTGCAGTTGGTGTGGAATTTCCTCTGGTGTTTGCCTTCATCCCTCCTCTCCCGTGCAGAGGCTGTGGAGCAGCGGTGAAAGTTCTTAGGATGTCCTGTGCTGTTTGAATTGACTGTTCTGTGAAGAGAGGACACGACTAGGTCTGACCTCCACACTGTGCTCTCTGGTGAGATCTCAGGAGTGTCTTATTTACCCAGTGACCAAACCAAACTGTTAGCTCAATTGTACTCATCTACTGACGATACTAAATTTGATGTTAATAAAGCAATGAAGAACCGGCTAGCTGTTTCGCTCTGTTTGTGCCTTATATGTGTGATTTGGTTTCCCCTTGATAAGATCCTAAATAAGGAAGAAGCTGTTCTTTAAACCAGGATAGAGATCCATGTCCCCATCAAGCCCTGGAAAGGGTAGTGGGCAGGAGGTAGACCGCTAGAGGACAGTATGCAGCCTGAAAAGCCAGCCCTGAGCCAACTCCTTATTTTAGGTCAGAGCATTTAAATCATGTGGTTGGAATACAAGAGAATACCTGCCAGATAAATGAGAGATAGACCAGAGCTTCAAAACTAAAGTTGACTGGATGTATCTGGTATGTCGTCGTCCTTATTTCTATCATTCTCACTAACTGGTCATCAAGGGGTTTTTGTTCTAGAATGTGTGCTAGAGATGGAAGAACCAGTCTGCCACTGAGTCGTCTTCAGGGCTTAGTCTTTCTGTTCCTGGCTTTTTAAATCACTAAACTGGTTCCCTGGCCTGTAAAATTAGCATAATTAGTATGTTTATTTCATAAGACTTCAAAAATTTAAAAAATAGTTGATATAATTGATAGAAAATATATCAAATTTATCAAAATACAAAATACTAAAAATACCAGGGACTTCCCTGATGGTCCAGTGGCTAAGACTGCACTCCCAATGCAGAGGGCCTCAGTTAAATCCCTGGTTGGGGAGCTAGAGCCCACATGCTGCAATGCTGCAAGTAAGTCTTGGTGCAGCTAAGTAAATAGTAAGTAGTTGACATTTTTCTATAAAAATAACAGTTGATTACAGGGTCATATAGAAAATTGATAAAATGCAAATAATCAAAATTTTACCTCACTTAACTGGACATCTCACATTCCATGCAGCTCACCCATTGAAAGAATACAATTTAGTGGTACTTAGCATACTCAGAGAGTTCTGTAACCATCACTGTGGTTCATTTTAGGACATTTGTATCACTCCAGAGAGAACTGCACCCCTGAGTAGTCCATCCCCATTCACTGTCCCAGCCCCTGGTAACCACTCATGTGTTTCCTGTTTCTAGGGATTTAACATATTCTGGACATTTTGTATGAAGGGCATCATACAGTATGTGACCTTTTTGTCTCCTATCTTCTTAGCATAATGTATTCCAGGTTCATCTACATTAGAGCATGTTACAGAATTTCATTCTTTTTTATGGCCATATAATAGTCCATCTTATGTATAGACTGTTTTGTCCATCAGTTTGTAGAAATCTGGATTTTTTACAAGCAAATAGACTTTTTTTGTCTATTGTGGATAATGCTCACAACATTCATTTTCAAGTTTGTGGATTATAGTTTTACTTACACTGGGTGTATATAAAGCTAGGAGTTGCCAGGTCATGTGATAGTTCTGTTTACTCTTTGAGTGTGTGTGTGTGGTTAAAGCAGATTGATGAGGGGTGAATGAAACAATGACCATAATGGTACCATGACATCTATAAAGCACTCTAAGGTAAAGCCATTGTGAACACAGATAAGCCAGGATGTGTGCCCATGCACCACACTAGCTTGTATTTAGATGTATAATGCCTGATTTGGGGATATCCACAACAAATACTGTGCAGCAGTGCACTGTTGAAGCCTAAATGGAGTTCCAAATACAATCCATGGTAAAAACTCCATTCCAAAAGACTTTCAGGCCCCCGCAGGTGTTGGGCAAGAACAGAAGAGCTGATCTTAGGAATAGGGGCTGTGAGGAGAGATGATCATGTAGGGATGAGAGTGGCCCAGCTATACCTCCAGGGTGCAGAGTAGCCGAGGTGATAGGGTACAGGAATGCTGTCAACTGGTCTAGGCACTTAAGTGTCTGAATGTCCCTTGATTGTTCTGGAGCCACAGACTCTGGTGACCCTGCCGCATGACTCTAATCTGCAGGTCGCCTACTCGTGTATGTAAAGGTGAACTGTCACCCGTTTTGGCCTGTTTCATTTGTCAAAGGGGATGACAGTGCTGAGGATGGAGACAGCTTCTCCCATAGGGCTGTGGCCAGGATTTTAAAAATGCCATATAAATGTCCCCACTGAGGGCTACCTAGCTTGTGGCGCGTTCGTACTCCCCAGCAGTGGCCTCCGGACTCCGTACGCACACACGCACACCACAGCCACTTTCCAGCCTCACTGGGATCGCCCAGGGCTCGGCAGGGAATGGGCCCCGCCTTCTCCCTCTCTGGCCAACCCTCTCCTCGACAGCCTTGGCAGCTCGTAACCCCCACCTCCGACCCGCCTGTACCTACCCACCATTTGGCCACTGCCTGGCGAAGGCCTGCACCCCACCCGCCCCGCCGGCTCTCCGCACACCTTGCGCCCGCCTGCCCGGGGCTGGCCAATCCGCGCGGCCCGGGCCACGTCATTGGGTTTTGTCCGGTCACTCACTGAGCCTTAGCCAATCAGCGTCACCTGCACCGCCCCAGGGGGTGGGGCCGCCCTGAAAGGGGAGACTGATGGCGTGAGGCTGCAGCCTCAAGCACCCGAAGCATAGAGAGGCCCGCGGCGGCCTGGGTCCCCATAAACAAGCCGAATAAGGGCAGTGCTCCCAACCTAGGGCTGACGGCCAGCAGAGAGCAAGAAATATGGCCCGAGAGAACAGAAAGCTGAGGTGGTTGAGGTAGGGGTGGACGGACGGGGCGGGGGCGTGGTGGCGGATATGTGTGAAGGCGCACGAAATGCTGGTGGCATAGGTGTGTAGCACAAGCCCTCCGGGACATAAAGGACAGAGAAAGTGATGCCACGTGGAGAGTTGGGGTCTGGCAGTGGAGTCCTCCAGTCGGAGCATGCCCACCTACAGATATGCCTCCCAGGGACAGCTTTACCAGCCACCAGAGAGGAAGACAGGTACATTCTATCCCCCTACTGTGGCGCAATACTTCGCTGGGCCATGCACAGGATGAGAAACGGGGTGCCTGACACTCAGTAATCCTGAAATGATCCCTACGGGGTTCCCTGCTTACTGAGAAGAACAAACAGAAAACTTGCAGGCCACTCAAGCAGGAAGGGAGGAGTGTAGGGAGAGGGGCAGAGATGAGAGATGTCCCCACCCATACTGTATCCCTGTGCTCTGGATCATGCAGTAATTGGACCCACTTAGGGGTCTAAAGGGCTTCCCTTGTGGCCAGCTGGTAAAGAATCCACCTGCAATGTGGGAGACCTGGGTTCCATCCCTGGGCTGGGAAGATCCGGGGAGAAGGGAAAGGCTACCCACTCCAATATTCTGTCCTGGAGAATTCCATGGACTATATAGTCCATGGGGTCGCAAAGAGTCGGACACGACTGAGTGACTTTGACTTCACTCACTTCACTATGGGTCTCGTGGCAACAGGACGTGGTGGCAGAGGGTCTGGAGGACAGTCAGTGTCCCCTTGCAAGGGATCAGCACCAGGTGAGGTAATGACACAGTCCTCAAAGGACAGAACACCAGCCTTCCAGACACAGCTGGGCAAGCTACTTCCGTCTGCAAGGGAGGCTCTGGGGGACTGGGGGCTTGCCCATTGTCAGCTTCCACTGAGGGCAACCAGATATCCCGAGTCGCAGTTTCAAGGCCCCACTCGGCCACGCAGTGCCCTGCCTTTTACCTAGGAAATGCAGAGAGGCTGGGGATTCAAGCGACCTGGGGATTCTGCAACTGACACGGTGGAATGCTGTGTTTGATTTCCAGTCCCGTCAGCCCAACAGGCACAGGGGAATTTGCAGGCTGCCATGGAAGAGCTGTGGCTGTCATCCTGTGACTTGAGCTGAGAGGTAAGGCAGGTGTCCTTGTCAGTTTCCTCCCAGGGACACTGCAGTGACTGCACAGCCCAGCCTTAGTCCCTGGCATTCCCTCCATGACAGTTCAGGGTAGCAGCTGCTCTGGCTCCTCGGGCACTTGCTGTCCTTGGCCCTTCACCCCATTCGAGTGCAGGGGGCAGCATGGTGACTGCTGAGACCCCCGCAGGTCATGGATGCCTCGAGCCCAGGTGGTCACTCAGGGATGGCTCGGAGGGCTGAAGGCACACAGTGAGTACAGGAAGCAGCTGTCACCCCAGACCCAGAAAAGAAGGGAAGGGGTTGATGTCATCAGAAGCCCGGAAGCCAGGATGAGGGCCACGAAGACCGGCCCATCTCTCCTAAAGGTCACTGCCTTGTCATCTTCTGAGTCATCTACATGTGGTTTGATTCATCAGCTCAGATTTTTATTTCAAAGACTGGTTTTGTGTCTAACATCTAAAGTTCTTTTTTCATTTTAAAATCCGCCTGGACTTTAAAAATTTGTCTTACCTTTTTGATTCCTTCTTGTGTATCTACTTTTTTATTTTTAATTGGAGGATAACTGCTTTACAATACTGCATTGGTTTCTGTCATACATCAACATGGATCAGCCATAGGTATACATATGTCCCCCTCCCTCTTGAACCTCCCTCCCACCTCCCACCATGTATGTCTCTTTTGGTGTGTCTCAGAAGCTAGTGAAGATTTGGGGAGTTGCAGTAGGCTTCATTCACAGGAATGCAGACAACTGGTAAATATCCATGAGAACTGCTCTCTGATCTCATGAGAATTCAAAGGTACTGTCTATTTCAAAGTCCCCCCTGATTAGGCACAAGAGTACAGGTGTTTCTCTTTCTTACCTCCTTCCTTTATAGACTGGTCCAAGGCCCGGGGATATTCACTGGGACTCACCTCCGATGCCTTCAGGACAAGCTGATGTGCGATACGATGCCCCAGGAACCTCCTTGGAAGCCAAATGGAGAGCATAGCCTGGAAAAGGGCTTCCCTGAGAGCTCAGTTGGTAAAGAATCTGCCTGCAATGCAGGAGACCTCGGTTTGATTCCTGGGTCAGGAAGATCCGCTGGAAAAGGGATAGGCTACCGACTCCAGTATTCTTGGGCTTCCCTGGTGGCTCAGCTGGTAAAGAATCCACCTGCAATGCGGGAGACCTGGGTTCGATCCCTGGGTTGGGAAGATCCCAGGAGAAGGGAAGAGCTACCCACTCCAGTATTCTGGCCTGGAGAATTCCATGGACTGTACAGTCCATGGGGTCGCAAAGAGTCGGACATGACTGAGAGACTTCATGTCACTTCACAGCCTGCAAAAGGAGGTCAGGCTTAGAGGCCAGTGTCCTTAACCACCCCTCCCTGCTGCTAGCTAGAGATTCAGAACAAACTGCTCAAGCCTTCCATGTCCTCATTTGCTCATCTGGAGAAGGGGTTGACATGCTACTGACTTCCTAGGGCCACCGCGAGGCTGGGATGGGTGAGTCCAGGCCTGTAGCAGACACTCTCCAGCCCTTACTGAAAATTATATCATCTGGCTTCTGACAGTGATGCCCTGGGGACATAACAGGGCCACTCCTCTCTTTGAGGGACCAGCCAGTGTTCCATGAGGATGGGTGGTGTCTTCAACATGGTTCGCAGACCAGTCTTTAGCTGGCCCTCTGGGAGTCCTGATTCGGAAGCCAGAGGTGAGGCATCCCTTCTGGGAGCATGTGCTCTGCCAGGAGCCCAGCAGTACGACTGCAGTGCCAGGGTCAGGGGGGAGCCTCCCTCAGCCAGTGGTTTGCTGAAGCCCCACTGTCTGTGGCAGAGGGATGGAAGCCCCTGCTTGCAGATGATGGGGACCGGTCTTCTCCTGCTCACTCAGACCCATGCTGGGATGGACCCAGTTCTTTGACAGCCTTGTCCTTCCTTCTAAC